TCAAGGTTTCCTTCTCAATTGTGGAATATTTCTGTTGATGATTATTCAATTTTCTGGAAAAATACTCAATAGGTCTTTCTATTTTCTCATCGCCTTCTTCCAAGAATACAGCATCGATACCCACATCACTCGCATTGATAGCCACCTTGAACGGTTTTGCATAATTAGATGTGCCTAATACTGGGGTAGTGGTTAACAAGCTTTCAGGCTGTCGCTCTTTCAATAAAGGTACCCGCTGGTATCCTCTGAGTAAGTCCTTGGTTAAAATATAAGTTGCACATCCCACCTTCTCAATACAGGGAATAGGATATGAATCAGATTCTGCAACTTCATGGATGTTGTGATTGCCCACACATGATTTTTGGGTACCATCTGGTTTTGGCATCATTACTATTGGTGAGTTTCATCTGCTGCAACTCACTTCAATTATATTGTCTTTGAGTATGCATTCAATCTCTTTTTGAACCTGTTCCAACTTTAGAGGGTTAAGTCTATAAGTAGGTTACTTAATTGGAACAGAATTTCCTATATCTGTATCATGCATAATCAGATTAGTACTTCCTAGCTTATTCCTGCACATCTCCCTATGTGATTATAAGTTTAATACCACCGTTCTAATGCTCCCTGCAATTCCAGATGGTACACAGTGGATTTGAATTGTTTTATTTCTAAGCTACCCATAACGTCCTTGAATAATTTTGATGTAAAATTTGACCCTTGATCCAAATGAATTTCTGTGGGTAGTCCATATCTAGTTAAAAAAAATTAAGTACCTCTTCTACAATTCTTTTAGAAGTGATACTGCATAATGGAATGGCCTCTGGAAATCTAGTAGACACATCCATTATGATCAACAAATAGTGATTCCAACTTTTTGTTTTAGGTAGGGGTCCTTTGCAATCAATCAAGACTCTGGTAAAAGGTTCTTCAAGTATGGGAATGGGTATTAGGAGTTGCTGGTTTTATCACTGCCTCACTGAGGTTTTCCAATTACCTGATATGTATGACATCTCCAGCAAAAGTCAACCATATCCTTTTGCAGTCCAGGTCAATAAAAATGTTTTCTATATTTTCACTTCAGTTTTCCTTTTTCTGAAATGACCTTCTACTGGTAATTCATGTGCTACCCACAACACCTCCTTTCCATAACCCACTGGTAATACAACTTAGCCATGGATTATAGAGATGTACAGCACGGAAACAGACCCTTTGGTCCAACTCATCTATGCCAACCAGATATCCTGAATTAATCTAGTTCCATTTGCCAGCATTTGGCCCATAACCCTCTAAACACTTCCTATTCATGTGCCCATCCAGATTGTACCAACCTGCGAAAAGACAACTTGATGAACTTTGGCCCATTTTTCATCCACCTGATTATGTCACCTGATTTTTAAGAGAGTAACATTATGGGGTACACTCAGATTCTTCTTCTGTGTATGCATTTTGATACAATTTCTTTAGTTTTTCCTCTTTCTGTTGTAATTCAGCTAATTTCTCTGAACTAAAAATATCTATTTCATCCTTCACCTGTTCTTGATTTTCCTCAAACATTTCATCATACATAGTTTCTGATAATTGAACCTCAACTTCCTTATCTTTATTCCTTGATTTGTCTTCCTCTTTCAACCTGTGCCTTCTTGTTATTACCACACAGTCAAGAAAAGTCCCAGGATATACTTCCTGTAATGCCTTGGTTGCCTGATCTTCCACTGGCTTTTCAACCACAGCAGGCATCATGCCCACCTGTGATCCACCTGTATATTACCAAGGATAAACCGTATTTTCAGAACTGAGAGGTTCTCTATTACTGCTATCACCACTTCACCGCTTTCCAATGGACTCTCCAACCTCACTTTATACAATGGAACACTGGTCTTCTCACCATGAATTCCACAGCTTACTACATTTTCTGGCAATACTCCTTCTGAATTACAAACTTGTATTATATAATTGTACTACAAATCATATTACATAGCCAGTGCTCTAACCACAGGAGGACATGACTGGCAACTGGTGGGACATTTTTGGGTGCCAAGCACCATGCTCCATACCGTTATGGATCAGACCAAACCCCATCAAAATATATTAAAAAGATGGAGGTAAAGTCAAGACCCCAGCAACTGCAGAAAGCTGAAACTAAATATCCTGGTTCTGTGGGAGCTTGATGCCACCCATTCAGGCTGCTTCTATTGTTCCAACTTAAACAAAAACCAAGGCCTCACAAGTTGTTTACTTATTGGCTTAAAGCAGACCACTCACCACCTCTGTCTCAACCTTTCTTCATTTAAAAAAGGGACAAAATATACCTCTTCTAGTCATTGTATTGTCACCTTTCTCACCTCAGCACAGTTTGACACATTACCCTCTCTTCAGGCACTTCACCTCCCACTTGAGTAGCCAAAACTCTCATGCACCCTCATCCTAGGGCTCGTGCACACTCTTACCTCATTTCACCTTTCACAAATAGTCCCCTTCCCTTCTCTACACGTAAGCTACGATGACCAAGATTGCTTACTCTCCTTGTAGAAAAGGGGAGGCAGTAGCATAGTGGACTAGTTATTCAGAGGTCCAGTCTAAAGTTCTTGGGACATGGTTTGAACACCACTGTGGTAAATGGTGAAATTTGAACTCAATCAAAATTTGGAATTACAAGTTGGCTTAATAGTGGCCACGTGACAGTTATTTTAAAAAAAAACATTTTGTTCAATAATGCCCTTTGGGGAGTTAATCTGCCATCTTTGTCTAGTCTGGTCTACATATGAATTGGTTCAAGGGCAATTTGGATGAGACCTGGATAGCGACAGCCAAACTCTATGAGTAAATATTAAAAATAAGAATGCACA